TGTATGTATACACATACTTGAGTCTCTTAAAGAGTACATCATACAGAACCCAAAATCTTAGTGATGTAAATTGCTGTGCTCAGACTATTCAAAGCCGTGTGCACCCCCATCAGTGCTTCCCTCGCCCGGAATTGGCCCTACTTGAGGCCCTGACTTCTACTTCTCCTGCCTCCAACCCAGGGTGTTGGTGGGCCAAATACCCAGCTATAATCACGGGTACTGATTAGACTTTTTACTGGCTTCGGGCCTAGTGCAGATGAGCACGCAGCACTTCCTGTAAGTAGCGTGACGCCTCAACAGTGAGGGAACTGTCGCTCCTCAGCGGTGGGCCCTTTTCCTCCTGCTGCTCCCACGGTGTGCCAGGCTGCAGACCAGCGAGGGGCCCGGCCTCTGGACCTGTACCAGCCTAAGTCGTCTGCGTCATGGCACCCGGGGAGCAGGTGTGCGTGGCTCAGACAGCTGTGACAGGGGACAGAGGTTTTGTTTTGCATGACTTTTATCCTAGAAACTTTCCAGTGTGTCTTCCAATTAAGACCAGCATCTACAGTAAGGCCCAGCAGCACCCCCACTGGGGCTTTTGGTGGTGTCCCCACACCTGCACCACTCCCCTCCTTTCCTGCTGTCTTCCGGTCTCTGAGACACACTGCCCCTGCACACTCTGGGCTCCTTGCCTGTGCAGGGACTCGGTACGTCCTCTTCCCTAGCTAGTCCTGAACAGTTTCATTGACATTCTCTTCGCTCATCACACAATTCACCATTTAAATGTGCTATTTGATAGCTTTTGATGTATTCATGGCACTGTTTGTCACCCCTCAATTTATGCACATTGCTATTATCCCAAAAAGAAACCCTACCTCTGAGCTGTCATCCTCAGTTCTCCATCCTAGCCCCAGCCAAACACTGACCTGCTTTGGTCTCCATGCATTTGCCTATTCTGAGCATTTCATGTCAGTGTAATCATACAGTCGGTAGTCGCTTGTGTCTGGCTTTTTTCACTTTACATTTTCGGGTTCATCCACAGGTACCTGCGTGTCACTCCTTTAACTGAGAAATACCATTCCATCTGATGGATATACACATTTCAGTCATCAGTCGATGGACATTTGGATTCTCTCCACTTTTTTGGTTATTATGGAGGATGTGTGTGAACATTTTTGTACAAGATTTTATGTAGACAAACATTGCTCCTGTCTTGGGCGAGTGTCTGGTGTGGGACTGCTTGATCATATGAAAGCTCTGTGTGAAGAGCTGCCAGCCTGTTTTCCAAAGTAGCAGCTCCATTTCACTTTCTCACCAGCAACACATGAAAGCTCTAATTTCTCTACAGCCTTGCCAACCCTCATGATTCCAAACTTACCATCTTTTTTAAGTTTAGCTATTCTAGTGGGGATGAAGTGGTAATTCACTGTGCTTTCCCAACTTTTATACTCATTTTTAAAGCTGCAGATTGAAGATCACCTCCATAGACAAACAGCACTCGACCACTCCACTACCTGACTGGGCTAACACCCATCTCGCAAAACCTCTTTTCTCTCCAAACCTCAAGTTTAACCTAAGCACAGACCATCCTGCCACTTTTTGATTCCCCACTCTATCCCCAGCTTCTAGTCATTGAGTGGATTATAAAGTTGCTTATTAAAAACTAATATCTAGAATATACGAAGAACTCAAAAAATCAAACCCTTCAAATTTAAAGATCCAATCCAAAAATGGGCATCCGAAATAGACACTTCTCAGATGAAGATGTAGAAACAGCAAATAAATATACTAAAAAATGTTCAACATCCCTGGTCATCCAAGAGATGCAAATTAAAACAGCACTGAGATTCTATCTCACTCCACAAAGAATGGCTGTCCTCAAGAAATCAACCTATAACAAATGCTGGTGGGGCCGTGGGGGAGAAGGAACCCTGCTCCATTGTTGGAGGGAGTGTAGACTGGCGCAACCACTGTGGAAATCTGGTGGAGATTCCTCAAGTAACTAAAGCTAGAGGTTCCATTTAACCCAGATATTTCCCCATCTGGGTATTTTCCCTAAAGAGTTAAAAGCATCATAGCACAGTGATATATGCACACCCATGTTTAAAGCAGCACAATTTATACTAGCTTAATCTTGGAAACAGCTCATCTGCCCATCAACAGATGAATGGATAAAGAAAATATAGTATATATATTGGGGTATTACTCTGCCGTGAAGGATAAATTGAGACATTTTATGTAAATGGATGAAATCTCAAGACCATAATTTTAAGTGAAATAAATCAGACGTAAAGGTTTAAATATGACATTTTTTTCTCTGATGTGAGAAACTCAAAGGGTAAGAAAGGAGCAACATGGAGGACAGATATTGGGAAAAGTAGGAAGAACTTGTTCAAATGAGAAGGACTATGGGGTGGGGTTGGAAGGAAGGGAAAAGAGACAGAATGGAAGGGAAAATGGAAACAAAACTTGTAAATTGCCAGAAGGGAGGGTGAAGAAGGGGGAGAGGAATGGGACAAAAAAGAAGGAAGATACGTTTTCTTCATTATAATCATTGTGTATGGCAAACATGCCCCCCCAAAATATATATATATATATAAATGTTGTAAATGTTAACAGATGTGTTAAATGAATGACATATAAAAATAGTAAGAAAAAGCATGCAACATCTAAAAATCATGTTTTAGAATTGACATGATTACCGTATTAGTCAGCTTCCTTGTCACTGAGGCACAATACCCAGCATCACAGCTCAAAGAAGATGACGTTTCATTGGCTCATGGTTTCAGCCCTGATCTCCTGGCTCAGGGCAGAGACAGCAAGCCAGAGAGCCAGCGCAGCAGAGCCGCTCAGTTCGTGTGGGCAGGGAGCAGAGCAGGGGAACAGCCCAGAGCAGAAGGGCCAGAGCCAGACAGACCATGCGCCATGCTTCCTGCCCACTCAGACACATCTAGAGGTCTGCTTCAGCAGGCCCTAGAGCGGACCCCAAGGCCAGTCAAGCTGAAACTCCACCCCAGCTGCCACAGTCACCTCTTCAATCTCCTCCATCTTTCCATATTACCAAAGATCAAATTATTGATCAGTATTTTAATATCTCTGGTAAGGGCGGGTAAGGAGCTATCCAGTATAACTGTGGCGCACTCTTCTGCTCTCCTGAAGTAGACAGTAACGCTACACCTCTATGTTTTTTTAAGCAAAACCTCTCCATATAAACACTTCATTCTTAAGCATCAAATTTTAAAATATAATTTTAAGAAATAAGTGACTTAGGGGAAATGGATTCTCCTGTTTTAGTTGCCACTAAGCACTGCTCCTAGAGTTCGCAGAGGGCCTGGGATTCAGCCTGGAATACACTGCCAGGGGCCACAGACTTCATTTTGAAAGAACTTTCATTCTAGTTAATGTTTTCACTAATTCACATAAGCAGTTAATGCAGAAGTTCAAAAATCATTTGAGGAGTCAGGTGCACATTTAAATCCCTGGCCCAATGTGCCTTCAGACAAATTATTCAATCTTGCTAGGCCTCAGTTTCCTCATCTGTAAAGGCGCGAGAAGACAATAAATAGGCCTGCATTAGAGTTTTTTGTGGGCATTCGATTAAATAATGTGTTCAAAACGCGGCATTTAGAACTTAAGAAATTCTCCAGTATGTTAGTTGCTATCATTATCATTATTATTATTTTACCACTGCTTCCTAAATCAGAAGAGAATATGCACAACAAATCTGTTGAAAGGGAATAAATTTTGCTTAGTAAGAAATACACTTTCCGGATACTGGGGATCGAACTCAGGACCTTGCACTGGCCAGGCAGGTGCTGGTACCACTGAGCTACAGCCCCAGCCTAGAAATACACTTTCTAAACGTAAGTTGGGAATTTTTTAGATTCGCGGATGGCTTTATCATCACTGTTATTTTTATGGATGATTTCCAAGTGATATTTTATTGACATAAATAAGACACATTTATATCTATTTCCAGATGCCTCCCTATAGTCATTTCTGAAGAAGGATTGTATTTCCTACCTTAAATTATAGTTTGCCACTGAGTTCTTATTCATGGCATGAGCTGCAGTATGGAGACGTAATACATCTTCCTTAAGTGTCATCTGCTGAGCAGAAAGTATTCTTCAAGCATCATATTTATTTCTATCAAGGAATATACTGAGCTTAGGTATTACCCTGATGGAACTTACTCTCCACAATAGAATTTCTAGGTACAAGATCCTAATGATGAATGTAACTATATTGTATTCCTAAAATGTACTGATAAACTTAAAGGGAAAAAAAATAAAATAGAATTTCTAAAAGTTCATTTGAATTAGAGTCTATAAGAATGTTCCTTCATTTACCCAAGTTCTGAGTGCATAACTACAGTTAGGCTTCGGGTATGCACAGAAAAGGAAACCAAGATTCCACTGTTGTGGAGATGTTCGTTGTTGATAAGAGGACAGCAGAGACAGAAAAGTACTCAAATGCATGGCCAAGACAGACGTAACTGGTAATAAATGCTGCGAGTAATATCAAACAGCGTTATGTTAAAGAAAATGTCTACAGGAAAGGGACTGCTTTCGATCAGTGGTTAGGAACAAGCTCTCCCAGCAGGTGCCTGAGCTGAAGAGGCGGTTTGAGAACTGTCCGGGAGCAGAATGATTTAGGGAAAGGGCAGGACCACGTGTGGCGTAACTGGGAAGGGGAGAGCAAGCTAATGTGGTTGGAAAAGGCGATGCAGCCCAAAGAGCAGGGGAAGAGTCCAGATACACAGCCAGGGTGCAGGGTGCAAAACTGCAGGCCCTGCTAGGGCGAGAAAGCATGGAGTAGGGCAGTGAAACAATCCGGGGTGTTTTCTGCAGTATCTAGTTCCACTTGTCCAGCTACGATCTGTGTAAATCCCTTGAGAAATGCCGTCTGCTAGCACACCATAAAACTCCCGAGCCACACCTCACTTTGCCTTAGAAGACAGAGATACAACCACTGGTTTCCTCTCCAGAGCACTCACGTGTCTTCTTCAACCTGCGGTTTAGGTTGCACCAGGTGACCTTCGAGGTGCCCACCTGCGAGGGGAAGGGACGGCAGAAGCTGGCGCTGACTGGCGACTCCTCGTCCTCGGCAGAGTTCTTTGTCACCGTGGCTGTCTTCGCCTTCCTCTACTCTCTGGCCGCCACCGTTGTTTACATTTTCTTCCAGAACAAGTACCGGGAGAACAACCGGGGCCCACTGATTGTAAGTGTGAAAGAATTTTTCTAATTTCTTTTGCTAATGCTTGTGGGGCTTTGGCGTTCCTGAGCCTTGGAGGCAGGTATTTGAAAGGAATTCACATTCTTTTTCATCCAAATCCCTTGGAGGGACAAAAGAAGCATGGTGCCTGTCAGGTGTCTTGTCTCTGCCTGGAGAAGGCACCACAGGCTGGCTGCAAACCCCCCTGAGATAATGGTTGGGAAGCACAGGAGATGCAGGGAAGAGCTGCAAGGCTTGCTGCAGATATATCACGAACCCAGCACATGGAAGTGGTCGCTATTTTCCTCACTGGTTGTTTAGACGGTGGGGTTTGTGCTTTTGGGGATGTTTTGTTGCCTCAGGATAAGACAGTCTGTGCCCAGAACTGTTTGGTTTGAAGATGGAATTATCCACCTTTCTCCCTCCACCATCCCACCAGCCCCCAGTTTCTCTGGCCCTGTACAATGGTACAAGGACTCATCTGGATGGAATTAGCACTGGAAAGTATGTGGGAACACAAGCACACATACACCAGGAGGACACACAACACACCCTCAGACGGGTGCATGGTCAGGGATAATTTTAAGAAAATAATTTCCAGCCTTTATGTGTAAATTTGCCTAAAATCTATCTTCCTGATGGTGCCTTGCCTCTGAAAATATCTTGCTTTCTTTTTTCTTAATCACTGTTAGGCAGCTTTCTGTCACTATAGCAAAATACCAGAGATAATTAACTTATAAAGAGAAAAGGGTCATCTTGGTCCATCATTGTAGAGGTTCCAGCCAGTAACTGATTGGATGCATCGGTTTCACCATCTGCCAGATGGTGATGGCAGGGAGTACTTAGAGGAGCAAATTGCTCACCTCAGAGCCAGAGAGCAAAAGGAGAAAGAAGAAAGCCACTGCCTTTGCAGGTAGCCCCAGGGACCTGGTCCAATGACCTGAGCACTACCCAGAAGGTCTCTCAAGCCAGCAGTGTCACTGAGGACCAGGCCTGTGGCACCTGGACCACTGGGGAGACATTCAGTATCAAAGTACAACATCTACCGATCGCATTTCCTAGAGAGAAGCATTTTTCCTCACCATCCCACATCTTACTACACAGTGTATTTATAGATGAGACATTTGAGGCCCTGAAAAAAGTGTCCTGAAATACTGGTGCTGATGAAAGTGAGCCCAATGCCTGGGTCAGATATTCTTTTGGATATAATGAAATTTTGGGGGCCTTCAATAACATTGAGGGTCCTAATCTGCCCGCCATTTGACAGATGACATAAATTGTTTCTGCTTACAGGTGACTATGTGGTCTGAGACATAGAAGTCTTTCTAGTCTCATATTTATACAAACAAGCTTTTCCACCATGTAAATCTACAAATTAAAAAGTAGAAATAAAATCCATGCTGAACCATGTCCCATTCTAGAAACAAATAATATTTGTCCAAAAAATAAACTAACTGAAGAAAAACACAACAATCTAAGAAACAGAAATTTCAACAAAATTTGCTGTTTAAAATTTATTTTTTATTAAATTTATAATATATTTTTGCTTTGGATAATTGTCCATTAATAATATTTGCAATGATTGCCCATACCAAAAGGAAATTATACTACTTAAACTCTTAGAGTCATAAGTACTTATAAAATATCTTTCCTTAAATTGGTGTATTTTATTGCAAAGAAATATAATAGGGTGATCAACAAAAAGCTTTCAGATATGGTAAATTAGGCTATAATGCTGTGAGGAAAGTGTAATGGAAATGTAAGTCCAAAAAGAATAAAACAAAAATATTAAATTTCCATTTGTTAAATAATTTATTTTAACGGGTGATAAGGAGTGTTGAATAAATATTAATTGTAACATTTAAAATTGATACAGTAGCTATACTTTTAAAAAATAAAGTATGCCAGAAATTTTGTTTTTTAAAATTATTTAAACTTTTACTAAAACCAAAATTAGATGCATACTTTACACAGGTAGGGACACAGTTGTTAGAAAGCCTTTTAGGCAGTATGTGAGTAAAATAAATTTCACCAACTTCTAGTCTGTCACTCTGAGCCCAGATCCTTAAAATGGGCAAGTTTTGAAGGTTAAGTGGGAATAATGCCAATTTTCAGGACTTGGTAGATAAGGTAGAAAACTTTTAAAAAGTTCAGATTTGTGGCACTTTAATGTGCTAGAAAAGCAGGAGTAACACAGTAGAACCTGACCCTCTGAGCTGGCATTTTGTTCCCCACTTTTGAGTGGGGCGAGCAGCTTTAACAGAGTAGCCTGATCTGGTCTCCCCTCCGTGATGTGCAGATAAATCACAAACATAATGCAGCGTGCGTGTCCCACGAAACTAAGACGCACTCGCCCATTCCTAGACCCTGCATTCTCCCACAGCACCCTCGAGTCCAGAGAATACCATGACGTCCAGAGGGAAGACGCATGCATAGCCAGTTTGTCCACGAAGTGGGAAAAGCCCCGATTGTGGTGTAAGACTCCATTCTCCTCCCGCGAAAGCGTACTGCCAAGGTTTGCTGTCTGACCCGTGTGATCTTTCTCATCAGGCAGGATCTCATGAAATCTTGAGTTGCATCTTGTTTTAGGCAGGTTTTATTTATTGCTTCCTGGTAGAGATAATTCTAGTAATAAAAAAGGAAATGCACCAAGATAAAACTTCCATAATATTTTTAAAATGTTGTGCTCATCCCTTGGCAGATAAAAGTTCATTTTAAAGGAGACTTGAGATGGATAAGGGATGAAAAAAAAGGAACCGGATGTGTTCTGTACATTGTACCAGCTCCCCACAAGGGATGTAAACATCACATAGTGCTAGCGTGCATGATAGAAGGAAGGGGTGGGAGAGAGGGAAGGGTGTGAAAAGGAATGGAGATGTGTCCTGTATGTGCCACAGCTCCACGTACCACACACGAGTACTAACAAACTAAGAAAACAAAAAATAGGAAAAAGAGAGAGGCCTGAGTCTGACACGTCACAAAGGCAGGTGGCGTGGAGACCAGGAGGGTGCCACGGAGCTGTGAAGAGCACACGCTGCCCTCCCTACCCCAGCACGACAGGGCCGTGACAGGGAAGCGAGCGTGCGCTGTGACACTGCGCCTGAAGGGCTCAGGCAAACTCACAGGTGAGCAAGACCTGGAGACGGCGGCTCACATGCAGACCTGCCCACTGCACAGACGGTTGTCCAGATGGAACGATAGCTGCAACAGGTGCAGGTCAGTCGTACATATTTGGGAAGATCATTACTCCAGCAGCTTGGTCCTAGTTACCCGCTATTCTTCGCGGTGGTTGTTTTGTTGAGTTTTGACAAAACATATACTTTTTAAAAGCTCTCTGATTTTGGAAACTCCAAGTCAAATTGATAGTCTGATGCAACTAAGTTTCTGTATTAGGCTAACATGAACTAATTAAAGCAGTTTCAAGAAATCAAGTGTCCATCCACAAATGAACCCCTTCCGTCTTGACTTGAAGTTCTGTGGGGCCCGATGCAAGGCATCACACTCAAGTAAGTGCGACGTGCCGGGAAGTGACAAGAGCGATGAGGCCCATAACAGCGACACCTCGGCTTTGTCTGCGTGTGGCGCTAATTTGATACCCACAGCAGTCCTAGCTTACGTTATCTTCCACGCATACAGATGGAGGAGAGTAGGCCTGGGAAAATTTACTCTCCTAGGCTGCATCACACACAGGCAGAAGGTATAGAGTTTGGATGCAAATCCAAGGCCCAAAAGACCACCATGAAGAGCGCCCGAGATCCTCAGACAGTGCTGCAGAAGGCAGAGTGGGGACAGGTGGCTGTCCACAAGTGGAGAGCTGCCAGTTTCTTACACTGGGAATAGCTCAAACCCTGCAACCTCTAGGCCCTTCTGCTCACTCGACTGTCAAGGATCTTTTACTCGCCTTCAGAATCCATTTGGAGTTACAGACAGCCTGGTGTCAACCCCGGCTGCTAGAACAACAGGAGGCTCGCAGGTGTTGAAAACCACCATGTTGGTGTGGACTGTAAGTCAGAGGTTCCCAGGACTGAGTCCTATATCTTTTCAAGGAGTGTGAGCAATTTCAGACAGACTGAGGCCAAGCTCACCAAGGGCTCCTTACAAATATTTTACACATGAAGGCATGTGATAAGATGACCCCATTTAAGTGGCATGAGAGGCGAAATGTCTTTAGAGGTAACGTAATTGTTAATGATGCTAACACAGTAGCAAGAAAATTGTGCCTAAGGAATCAGCCAGCTACAGTCGGTGCCTTCTTGTACAGATGAATAAGCATCAGTTCTCAGAAAGCAGAAATGCCCACTTGAATGGTGCATGATTGTGGTATTGAAATGTCACATCTGGTTATATCGTTTTGTCCTGTTCCTAGGAGTTTGGTTTTATAGCCAATCTGGCCTAGACTTCTGTGACAGGATATTTTGAGCCATTTTCAGATCTCATGTCAAAAGGGAGGCTTTAGGTTTTCTCATGTTAATGTGAAATAGGTTTACAAGAATAGCTTCTCTCACAAGGTGGAAAGGATGCTCTAAGAATGAGGGTGTAAATAAACACCATCCCACATACAGGGAGTCCTTGTTGCCAGAGGCGTAGTTTATAGTAACCATTCCAACAACCAGTGGATTCTCCACGTCCACCCCAGAGTATGTTGCTCCAGTCCTCACTTCTGCAGGGGCAGGCTGGGTAGAGGTGGCTTAAGGACTGGGAGAACTTACCCATTGCAGGCACACAGCACTGTCCTGCCCTCATTTGCTCTAGGCCTAATGCAATCCAAATCTTTCCATGTTTCTCCATCCAGCCTGGAAACAGTCTGAAGAGACTATAATGAGAATGGGTCCCATCCTACAGATGTGTTTCAATTCCTCTTGATTGAGCAGCAGGCCTTGGATTGGCTGTCCTTAGGGGAAGGGGTACTGGCCCAAGGACCAAGACCTGTCAGGCAGGGGCTAAGCTGTGGGGCACGGATTGTACTTACCTTGCGTGGCTCGTGACTTGACTGTTAGACACTGTCA